CTATAAAACTGGATCAGCAGCTTCTTGGGCAGTTTGAGCTTTCTGAGTTGGTGCAGAAAGAACATTCTTTGTTATGCTTTTTTGATGATGTTTTTGATGTTAGGTGTCCATTTTAAGTCTTGAGATATAATAGAACCTAGAAACTTGAAAGTCTCTACTGTTGATACTGTGTTGTCTAGTATTGTAAGAGGTGGTAGTATAGGAGGGTTTCTCCTAAAATCTACCACCATTTCTTTCTACTAATGATAGCATCCATATTTCCCATTCGGGTATGTGTACAAAAGTGGATGTCTAAACCACTATATGTTGTCCATTACACAATGCTGTTTAAAGTGATACCAGATGACTGCTGAACTCATACAGTCCAATAGCTGATCATTGCTTTGAAGAACTGTTTTCTCTTCTCTGTGCTCTTTTCAATAACAATTTTAAAAACATTCTGGTTTGAGACCTTTGTATCTACGGTTGAAATATTCACACTTTAGAATGGTACTATATTCCTATAAATGGCTGAGAAGGTAAATGTAATATTAGACAACCTGTGACCCATTGGCTCATCTTTTCAGTTATTCCTTATCTAAACAGCAAAACAGAATGACCACAGATGGATTAGTATTGTTTTGGTTTTAAAATTTAAAATTTAATTTCAAAATTAAAGAAGAAAACATCATTTAAAAAAAAATGTTGCATAGAAAGACAAATATATATGTGTTTGGTTTAAAAAATGATGTATTGGATGACACATGTGGTTGATCTGCCATTTTTAAAGAATACTCTAATGTTTTCACTTCTTTTTCCTCAGCTTAATGCAACATATATCTATATCTATATCTATATCTATATCTATATCTATATCTATATCTATATCTATATCTATATCTATATCTATATCTATATCTATATATATATATATATATATATATATATATGCATATTCTTTCTAGCCAGGTTTTACCTACGTAAACTAAGTTGTTCTGCAGCCCTGGTTCTGTGAAATCTCATTCACAAGCTTCTGGGCTTTTTTTTTTCTGTTGACAAACTGCAACTCTGTGTTGCTCTCTGGGAGACTCAGAAAGCTATTTCTGCCTTTTAAGGCGTTGTCAGTGAGCCACACCCACTTCTCAGATATCCTCCCTGTAAAGGTACAATGAAAACCCGAATAACCAAATGAAAACCCGAATAATCAAAGACCTACATACAAACACCCGCGAAAACCTCAGAATATGTGTGTGTGTGTGTGTGTGTGTGTGTGTTATATATATATATATATATATATATATATATATATATATATATATATATATATATATATATATATATATATATATATATATATATATATATATAAATATGTTTTCTGAGGTTTTCGCGTGTTTGTATGTTTCTAGGAGCAATGCACATTGCTCCTAGAAGCACGAAGACGAGAACACCAGCCTGAAGATGACAAATGAGACTTCGTTGAAACGTTGCCAAGAAACCTCCAATTTTACGCGGGAGAAAACCCGAATAACCAAAGACATACATACACAAACACACACACACACACACACACACACACACACACATACACACACACACATATATATGAATGATAGATAATATAAATAGATAGGTAAATAGATAGATAGATAGATGGATGGATAGATATTTAAATATCTTAGATATTTAGATATTTAGATCTCAGGCAAAGGGGCTGCTTTAACCATTTACACTGCAAGTTATAATAGATGGCTAAATAAATAAATAGAATAAGATTATTCTATGTATTATTCTCTTGGTTGACTCTTGAGACAATTATAAATGTTTCAAAATCAAAACCATTAGTAACAAATATATATAGATTTGAAATATTACTTTTAGAAAATTAACAAAAGCTTACCTAAAAGAGACAAAAACAAATGCACATGCTGGCTGGGAAATTCTGGGAGGCCACACATCTTAAAACTGCTAAGTTTGGAAAACACTCATCTAGAGGTTAGGTTCTCTCTATCAGTCACCATTTTGCTTGGGCTTGTCATAATCTTCCCAGTTTAATTGCTTGAAAGTAACTTAAGCTGACAACACTTGCATTAGAAGTAACCTCTTGTTTCCTGGACAGATTTCATTGAATATGTTTGGTGAGTTCGCAGAAAAATGGGCCCATAGATATGATGCTTCAGTATTTGAGCTAATTCCATTGAGTTAAATGAACCTATTTCCAAGTAAATGTAAATACATTTGCTACTTTAGTATATGTAAATAGAGTCCAAGAAGAAGAAAGATTTACTGAAATAAAGCATGAAATTTATTGTGCAGGACCTTGTTTAGTTTACAATATTAAATGCAAATATTGTGAGCTACAAATGCTCACATTGTGTGTGAAATGAAGCATGTATTATTATGGAATAAAACAAAAATTGCAGCTGTTTTCTTGTGCTGTTGTTAACAATTCTGTGTCTATTCCCCAAAGTGGATGTGGTACTTTAACTGTACATCATACTTACTAGATATAAAGTCTTTCATTTTTGCTCTGTGATAATGAGCTAATAGAATTCTTTTTAAACAGTTTACCTAATAGCACCTACCGTTCTCATCCTGGCCATGGTTTCTGTTTCTAAATGGGAAAATGTACAGCAAAGTCAGGGAGGAGATTCAAGTGGAATAGTTCTATTGTCCTTGGGGATATTTTTTTTTCTTGATTGATTATTAAATCCCTTCTACCCTTTATTCTAATAAGTGAACATGGAGACATAGATAAACTGTGAAGAATTTTTTGCAATTGGGATGGTTACATTGGGGTTATATCAGGGGTGCTACTCAACAGGTTCTGGAGAACCGGTAGTGGAAATTTTGAGTAGTTCGGAGAACAGGCAAATACCATCTCTGGCTAGCCCCAGAATGGGGTGTGAATGGGGATTTTGCAGTATCCTTCCCCGTGGCCCACCAAGCCACGCCCACCAAGCTATGCCCACCAAGCAAAAATGCAGAGATTTGTCCAGACAGCTTCCAGAATCAACACTGGCTCGAAAACATATATACACACAAGAAGGTATTAATAATAGTTGAGCGGTGTGGTGGTCCAGTGGTGAAAATGCTCGCCTCCCACTTGGAAAGTTGAGAGTTCAATTCTAGGTAGTGCCAGATGTTTCTCTCTCCTAGGCCACAAAGAAAAAATGCCTGCTGTGAACTCCACGTGGCATCAGGAAGGGTATCAAGCCAGTACATGTTCAGCTCTATCCAGTCGCCCTGATTCTACCCTGAATTATGGGATTATAGAGTTGTAAAAAAGAAATTAAGTATTAGTAGCAGTCTCCTTCTGAGCTGCTGGCTTTATGATCTGTCTTTGGCTCAGAGTTTTTGTTAGTTGCTGATTGTTCTTCTATAAAATGTGCACTAGAACATACAGTAGTTTATCTTTTGCTAAGAAATATAGATGCACAAAATAAGATGGCTGCCCCGAAGTAGTTTATAAACTAGTCTTCTGAATGATCACATTTGCATTCTTCCTTTTTGCTGAGTATTTCATGCCCACCTTTTGGTGGGTATTTCATGCCAACCACCCCTCTTCAGATAGGGGTGAAATATGTCACTTTTAACAACATCGAAAACAAAGTCTCATTAATTCATCTCTGAAATTCAATTTATTTTGCAACAGTATAATGGCATCCAAAATCCATTCCTTATGATACAATTGTGAAAATCAATATATATGTACACATACATACACTAGTGAAAAATTTTTAAATTGTGATAACGGGGCCTTATTTCCTGGTGGAACTAACATCATGAAGAAGAACATCTGCCATAATCTCTTGGTGCACAATGAAAATCTCAGGCTCTCAGCTTTCAGGACCATGATAAAAATACATGTTCTTTTCAATACACTCAAAATATGTTGAAATGTACATTTACTGTAATTATGTCTAGCCTTCTTTCTAATTCATTAAATTTTCTGATTGAAATGAAGTATGGGCATGTGGGTGTGTCGTAAGAGACCGTAAAAATGAAATTTTAATTATAAAAGGACATAACATCATTCATTATTAATAATGGCCAACAATGTGGAATATGTTTATATATAAAATCCATTAGGAAGATAAGCTGGCTGAGGTCCTAAAATAAGACAAGCATTTCTCCAGGACATACAGAATCAATTGTAAATAAGATTTGCAAAAAAATAAAATAAAAATGCAAGCAATTGGATTGATTCCCTAATAAATCGGGATATCCCATGCTGGGTGAAAATTAAGGCATATTTAGCCTATTGTCCTTCTTTATAATTTGCTCTCTGCACTTGGAGATGTCTTATAGATGGATGCTCCATTAAATCAGTAAATCTTTTTTTAAAAAAAGAAGCAAAAAACCTCCCCACCTTCTGCCAATGCTGTCATTAAATGTCTATGGACATTCTCCGTCATCCAGGTCATGGTTGTCCCAAAGGTGCTTTTTCAAGTTTCTTCAGCTTCTTGAATGAGAAGCGAAATGTCTTCAAAGAAAAACCAGAAAGTCCAATTGCCTCTTGAAAAAGCACCTCTGAGCTGTCATTAAATCTTACAGTACTAAATTCAGCATATTTTATTATTTATATGTTGAGTGAAGAAATATTTATGGTGGAGAGAATTGTCTTAAATATACTACTTACCAAGCTGCCTTAAGTTTCCTGAAGTGATGTTTTATCCGAAAAGGAAAACAATATCTATATTTCCTACTTTGGAATATTACTATACATCAGAGGTGGGTTTCAGCAGGTTCTGACCAGTTTTGGAGAACCGGTGGTGGAAATTTTGAGTAGTTCGGAGAACCAGTAGTAAAAATTCTGACTGGCCTCACCCCCATCTATTCTCTGCCTCCCAAATCCCAGCTGATTGGGAGGAAATGGGGATTTTGCAGTAACTTTCCCCTGGATTGGGGAGGGAATGGAGATTTTGCAGGATCCTTCCCCTGCCACGCCCACCAAGCCACGCCCACCAAGCCACACCCACAGAAACGGTAGTAAAAAAATTTGAAATCCACCACTGCTATACATGATTCTTAAACTCCATTACAAGACAGTTTCTCATCCAGAACATCTTAAATTTGACGCGAGAGGGCACAAGCTATACAGACTGCACAGGATTTAAAACAAGATGCATTTAAACGGGTGAAGCTGGCAAACATGTTGCTGTATGCTTGCTACTATGGTTTAAATCAATCCATCCTTCGGTTTCCTCAAGGATGGTTTTCGAAGGAACCTCACCAGTATTTTTACTCTAGTGATAACAGACTTGTGAGATTTCCAGAGCCAGTTCAAGACATTCTCCACTTTCCTGACAAGACTCAAGGATGCTGCAATCAATGTCACAGTTGCAACCGCAGTCACCATTGTTGGAAGTATCGCTTGATGTTTGGAGATATCTATGGGAAGGGCAGCACGTATCGATCAGCCAGTTTTCACAGACGTCGGGCAACATGAACAGAAACTCCCAAAACTGGCAGAATAAGCAGGCCAAGATGAGTGTGGCACATTCATCTGTTTTCAAAAGGAAAAGGGCAAAGAGTGAGATTCAAAAGAGAGAAATGGGAATCCATCAGCATTGTGATAGAATATTCATAGTGAAATAATAACAGTAAAGGATTCACACCACTTCTTATGCTACGAATCACCAGAAACATTTTCTAGCACAAATTAACTGCAACTGCTTAGCAGGAAGTCCCTCTTAGCTAGAGGAATCTTATTTATTGCAGCCATAAAAACTAGATTGATATAGGGAAAAAAAAAATTGTGAAAGGAATGTGTACGTACTAAGCATCTATTTAAGGGTAATCATGGCCAGGATCAGTATACCATGTGGCTTAAACTTTTCTCCCTAAATGCTGGCCTCCTGATTCCCAGACTCTCTTTTACTATGCTTAAAACATCTCCTTGGCTCTGTGCAGACTAACTTCCCATTTTAAAAAATAAAACAAAATAAATTGCTAAAGGAGATGTCACAGAGAATGTTAAATTAAAAGACTCAAATTAAATGCTTATTTCAAGAAAAGTACTAATGCGTAAGTACTGCATCGGAAATGGAGACTATTTTTTTTTAACCAGGCTTGATAGCTGAACTATTGTTTAAATGAGAATGAGCCAATTTGGTTAGTAGTAGTTAAGGCATTGGGCTAGAAAACAGTCCTGCCTTGGCCATGAAAGCCAGCGCAGGGACTTTGGGCCAATCAACTTCTCTCAGCCCATAATGATCAGTTGGTCAGTCAATTTTTTTTTGTAACGAATGGATCAATAATCATTTGATCTGAAAAAAGCAGACCCTGTGTTTGCAGGAAAAATGTTAGGAAGAAAAAGAATCTCCTGGAAGAAGATTCCAAGAAACTTAAGTGCATCTTAACTCTTTTAATAAGTTTGCAAAATTCCCAGGGAGCAAATGATTATTTGCATTTACTTATTCCTAGTTTGCCTTTATTATTTTGATAAATAACCCAAGACAATGAACATACCTAATATTACTTCCTCCTCTTATTTTACCCACAACAACCCATTGAGGTGGTTGGGCTGTGAGAGAGTGATTGGGCCAAAGTCACCCAGCTGGCTTTCATGCCTAAAGTGAGACTATAACTCATAAGTCTTTCTAGCCTGTTGCGGTACTCCAAACTGGTTTTCAAGAGTTAGTGCCCTTTATTTAGCCATGGGACAGCAATTTGAAAGGCAAACAAATGCTTTCTGTGATTGGTTGCATAGATTGTCACAAAGGGGAAATGTTTGGTCCATTTTAACCTAAGTATACTGCCAATTACCATTGTCATCACTTGCCTAGACTTGAATCCCCCTTCCTAATTATCCACACTACAGGGAAGTACCATTTGGTTCGCTGGTATCTATAAATACCCTTTGATGAAATTTCTTAACCTAATTCACATTATATATCAATAACCCCCTTAACATCAGACTAAAAAAACAGCTCATCCCTAGGAGTTTTCTGTCAATCAAAAGCTTCCTTGAGTATCCCAAATATTACATTAAAATCAAGTTTTATAATATCAGATAATAACACTAAGAAGCACAGCGTTGAATTAATTTTTATTAGTAAGCTATCATCCATAATATTATCAATTTTAATACTTATCTAAATTTGTCAGGGATCTATTTAAGTTCAGACAAGCACAAGTAACTCCCAAGTCAGTCTGAGAGAATGAAAATGACTAGATTTGGGAGATACTAAGTAAATTCATGCTTATATTTTTTTCTGAGTAAATGAACTGAAATAATTATCAAATTGAAACATGTTATAAGGTGACACTACTGCATTTAATTGTATGAAATTTACAGTGTAGAAAACGTAATCATTTTATCCAGTAGTCCATGGTGTAATTAAAGTTCTCCTCTTTTAGGTAACATATATTTATTAAGTTTTTCCCTCTCTGCCTCCCGCCTGCCTTGGCACTCAGATAGAAGAATATCAAATCTGAAGTTAAGCATCTTTTCAATTCTGACTTGAAATGTAAGATCTGTTTTCTTAATAATATGCACGCTTCTCAGTTTATTAACCTTGTTGGCATCTGCATAATTTTAATCAGAGAATGGATATTGCTCTTAAGATCTTCCTATTATTTTCAGGAAGGACCACACAAAAAGACAACATTTTAATAAGAAAGTGATGTTCTGGTGGATACACTGTGCCTTACATTAAAGATGCTTTTAAATCCCTATCAGACCACATGTCATGAAACTATGGTAATGGATATAATTCTTTCTTGCAAGATTTGAAGGTATCACGTCTTCCTCCCTCCTCCCACTACTTAAATGTTTAATAAACAATAAATATTAGCAACTGAGCACTCATTTCTATGCATTTATATGTGAAATAAATTAGCCACAAATTCAGATCCAAACTTCCTTTTTTGTCTTCTGCCTGTCTGGCTGCTCATAAAAAAAGTTATTAGCGCATTTATCTCAATAAGAACAATGATCTCCCTTCTCCATCAGTAGACAAACGATAACAACAAGAACTATATTTAATAATGTTGTCAGATGGACCCAAAGGTGCTTTTTCAGGAGGCAACTGGACTTTCTTGTTTTTTTCTTTTGAAGACATTTCACTTCTCATCCAAGAAGCTTCTTCATCTCTGAAAGGATAGTGGGGAATGGAGGGATTTATATTCCTTGCAGACCTGGATGACTGAGAGGACATGAATGACTGAGAATCTCTACAGACTGTTGTCAGATTGACTTCACTCTACATTTTCTTGACCTCAGTTGCTTTTGACAATCGGTCCATTCTTACTTTATGCCATAGTTCCTCCTGCCCAACTGCTGATTCAAATAGTCCAATTTTTGAAGAGATTTCTATCAATAGTTCTTCATGACGTGATCTGAATCATTTCTGCAAAGTGAATTACATTCTTTCTTCCGACTAGATCATTAAGTTGCACCAAACATTTGTTTTCTATTTGGCCAGTGTATTTGATTGATTCATTTTAGATTATTTCCTAAACCAAAATTTTGCTTTCTTTTATCAAGTTTTCTGTAAGAATTAAGGTCGTAAAGTGTGACCATTATTATTCATTCAAATAAATCTTATTTGCTCCCATGTTTCCTATTAACACATATTTCATTTAGTTCTGGAAAGTTACTTCCATGAACCCTGTGGCTACCTAAAGCTGGAATAAGTGGAGGTGTTTTTAGTTCATAGAAGCCAATATAAATTTTCTCATCGTTACAGATATAGTTAAATGTGAGAATGCACATCTTATGAGGGAGGGTGCCCTTGAAATTTCATTGACATGCCATTTTCAAAAATTGGCCAGAACACACTTTAAAGTAGTCCAGAATAAAGAAGATCTAGGACAACAAATAGATTTCTAACACTCAAAATTAAAATAAATTACCCAGAAAGACAGGAAATTCCCCGATCATATTGTGCATTCAAGTAGAGGCTGAATAGCCATCTGACAGGAATACTTTAATTTGAATTTCTACACAGACCAGAATGTTTGACTGAAAGTGACTTAAAGCTTAAGTTTAACTAAATTAAATACATTTAATTTAGGAAATGCAACTATGGTTCATGGCTTTTGTTTTTTCATTCTTTTGCATTAAAAATTTCATTTTTGCTTTAAAAATTGGGATAATTGTGGGGACGTGGGGGGGGGGAAGCCTCATCATCTGAGAACTATATGTAGCCCTGGACTTCAAATTGTTGCTGTAATGCATGCTGACACTTCTTCCATATTTACAGTATATTTATTTCCCCCACAAATAATTGCTTCCAAATTTACTGTTACATTTGCTGATAACAATAGAAGAAACTATTGAAACCAAAAGAATGAAACCTGCAAATGACAGTCTCAATGTATCAATACCTTTCAAAATTAGCTACGTTTCCAGTTTTCCTGGTGAATTGAACCTTGTTTGCAACTTAATCTTCTTTCTTTTTTCTCCCCTGTCCAGTTACCTCTTCCCTTTATTCATCTCTACCCAATTTTGCACCCTCAATACTCTCCTTCTTTTGTCTTCAACTTCTTCATCTAGTGCATCTATGCCTTTACTTCCCCTATCTTTGTCCAGTTTCCATTTCGTCTTCCTCTTCTTCAATGTTTCTGCTAAATGGAGGGAGTGGAATGTGTTTTTGTGTGTACCTGTGCACACAGGTACACACAAATGGTGAAATAATTGCTGCCACTTGTAGATAGATGGAGACCACTGAGATATCTTATTTTACAGGTGATTTGATTTGGGAGAAAAATACCACAAGTAGTTATTTCCTGGGAGTATGGTATTTCTAGTATTTATTTTATCCAAAGTTGCAACCCTTAGGCTGACAAAGTGAAGAAGATGGGATTTGCATAGGATTTTGTCCTGTGTTTATCATCATTTTTTTCTTTCTCTTTCATCCTGGTGGTAGGTGGACAAGGAATAATTTGAAATTCAATATCAACTAGCCTTTCTGTAAATGCAATCTATAAGCATCTTTCTCGGTGTTTCAGTAGAATAAAGAATGCAATTCCATGAGCTTGCATGGAGCTTTACCTTCAATTTAATTGAAAGTGAAAGTTATTGAATAATTGAAGAAGAACTCAACAAAATTCTTATAAAAATCCTTTTTGAAGAATCATAGGTTTAGGGCAGTGGTTCCCAATGTGGGGCCCACGCCCCACAGGGGGGCAATTTGATTTTTTAATAGGGGCAATTGGAACCTTGTTTAAACCAAGTTAACGGCCTATTAGGCTTCCTCCGCGTGAGTAGGAGCTCACTTTTTGAATAGTAAGAATTATATGTCATGGGGGAGGGGCATCAGGATTTTAGAGATGCTTAGGTGGGGCATGGCCAAAAAAAAAAAAGGTTGGGAAAAAAGGTTTAGGTCATTTGTTGAAAACTTAAGGCATTTCTAGAAGATTCAGCTTTCTCTGTAAATCAATACATATGTATATCATAAGAAAGAGAGTGAATGTTTATAGTGGTCAATGACCAATCCATAAAACACCTTATATACATAAAAACTGATATTGATTACCCAATTAGGTAAACCAATCAAGCAAACTGCTGTACGTCTTACATGTAACATGACAAAATTTGGCCACACTTAAGGAAATGGAATCATCTGAATCTGGAATTAAATGTTTTATGTAAAACTAGTCAGAGTGTCCAGGGTATTAAATTAAATGCGGGATTAACAGCTCACAGCGAGTGTCATCATAAAATGAATAGTATAGTAAAACATATCGATGGATTCAATGAATCCTTCAACACATAGGTAAATCCTGAATTTAAACTGGATGCCTTTGTTTCTTCTTTTTAAGGCTACCAATGGAACTGCAAAGAACCATGTCCCTTCCTTATATTATGTGTGAAATAATTTCAAGGGACTACTTTAGCTAGAGTCATAGTTTAATAAATCAAGCATGTTGTTTGTTTATTTGTTTATAAAGTTTACAGGGTTTTTTAAATTAAAAGTTCTGATTAGCTCTGGCTGATGTTTAAATTAAATAATCCCAGAAACTGGGATTGAATATTTGAGAGATTATTTCTTTTTCTTTTTTTTAAAATAGTCTTTATTCAACCTTTTTTAGTTTTAAAAGCACATTTCCATTTACTATTGGTAACAATTCAAATTTTATAATTCCAATCTATGGCCTATTATTTTATACATTATGTATGTTTAAATATATAATATCTTTTACTATATTCTATTTTTGTTCTTCATTAACATCGATTTAATCTATTCTTCAAATATGTAGTATATCTATATTTATTTATGTATTCCTTTTATCCTTTAACAAGTTTTATCATATTTATAAATATATATAATTTTCAATTTAATGTACTTTCTATATCATCTTTATGCATCAATTTTACATCTTGTTTAAAGCCATTGATACCACATATTCCAACTCTTGTAATACTCTGATTTCTCTCTGTCTTTAAGCTCCATGGTTAATTTATCCATTTCCACACAATCGAGGCCTTTTTTTATTATCATTGCGTTTGTTGGCATGCTTTCTTGTTTCCAATTCTGGGCAAATAAGATTCTTGCTGCTGTTGTAATATGAAGTATAATATAGTAAGCCCTTTTGCTTACATTTACTTTTATAATACCCAATAAGAACAACTCTGGCTTCATCTCAATTTTTTGTTCTGTGATTTCTTCTAACATTCTAATAATTCTGAGATTATTTCTATTGGTGAATCTCTTCAATAGAATAACCCTTATAATGACCCATGCTCAGGTATTGGAATACATGACTGCTTCTTTCATAACATCTGGGGAGCTTTTTAAGTCATTATTCAGCAAAATTACCCACCATAATACTAATTAAGGCACCAGTGACAGCAGGACAAATCTTATCATTTCCACTTATAGCCAGTCAGGGGCCTGCAAGGTGACCCGGTCCCTCCTGAGGAACATATTCACATTCCTATGAAGACTATTTCAAGCATTTGTCAGTTAAAACTACCTGAAATATTAGTTGGACTCCAGCTGCATGGGTCCTGCGGAACTGAGGCATGATCTAGCATGATTATCTGGGAAGACTGATTCTATTGGACCTTAGGGCTGTGAATGCAGTGACCTAAGTATTAGTTCCATGCCTCTGTTGAATGATACTTCTTCTCAGGAGATAATTTGTGGATGGATTCAGGAAGAGGTATTGATCAATGATAGAAAAATGGTTCTATCAGCTTGTAAATATAGTATGTGCTTTCTATCCCGTTATAAAAAAACAAAACAATTCTGGATTTAACAGTTCTGTTAAATTGTCATCTGTCTCTAACTTCCCTGGTCTCAGACCATGATAAAGAACTGATATAGCACATTGATTGCAGTTTTAGATTATCTTTGGCAGGGTGAAGTTGGGGGTAGTGCATCCATAGCCGCTTTTCATGCTATCTATCATGGTATCCTTCTGGATTATCTTTGGGCCTGGGAATGGGGATCTTGATTTTGTGGTGGCTCACCTTCTTCCTTCAAAGACAATTCATATCAGCCTTAGACCCAGTGGTGGGATTCAGCCAGTTCGCACCACTTCGGGAGAACCAGTTGTTAACTTTCTGAGCAGTTTGGCAAACTGGTTGTTGGAAGAAATCATTAGGGCAGAGAACCGGTTGTTAAATTACTTGAATCCCACCACTGCTTAGACTCCTACAGTATAGAATTCCTTGGGGCTTTACTTTATCTCCATCTAAATGGATTTGTTGAGTGAGGTCATTGGCATGGAGATTGTGAGGATTGTACATACCATAGCATTGCAGATCTGTACACAATGCTTTATTGTGGCACACACCTTTCCTGACTACTGGCTATTGCTGTGGGTTAACTGCACCCTCCACTGGATTAAGACATTGGATGAACCTATCTGAAAATTTGTTTAGAAGTTTGAATGTGTTGTCCTTTGGGCCCTGATCATGCTGTTTTATATTTTACGAGCTGATTACCTGGCGTTGCCCAGCTATTTATTTATCCCAATCTTGTATTAGACAGGAAAAGGAATGAATTATATCTTTAGTGTCAAATCAAAGCAATTTTATTTACAGGGTTTTAAAAGTATAAGCACTGTATACAAATTATAAAGTAAAATATTATTCAAATTAAGTATAATATTAATTTAAGACAAAACTTGATTATAAACAACATTTTTAGTTTCACCTCCAGGAACAAGAATAAATAAATTTTGTGGTGAACCCACCCTTGAGCAAGCAAAATTAAGTCATCCGTGGGAGAAACATGGTGATCTCAAATCCCACTCCACAGTACTTAATAGACTGACCCTGTGACTTATTGATCATGATTGAGAAGGCAAGTCTCAATTTTTTTTCAAAATTTTTTCTAATTTGTTTCCAGAGAGTAAGTCACCAGTGTACCAAGTTTGGTTGAAATTGCTTGAGCCGTTCCAGAGTTATGCTGGATCGTATATATAGATAGATATACATACATAGATCCTTTTTTATATAGATAGATATTGCTCTTATCATTCTTTTACACCTATTGTTATCTTGTTTTCTTTTTAATCTTTTAGTTGCTTAGAGTCACCTTTTGCAAGTTGGTGCCCATACAAACTCTTTAAATGAATCCAAATAAATAAAAACCTTTTACTACTTGTAGCATAGGAAATAGGAATTTTTCAAACCATAAAATAGATCTGACCCCAATGGCTGTTTCTGAACACTGTAATTTATTGCACCAATCCAAATTTAGTACAGTTTAGTGATGGATGTGATAACTATTCAATAACAATCCTTTCTACTACAATTTATAAACAGCAAGATCAGAAAGATTTAATCTCCGAGCTAAAAGTATGCCAGATGCTTTACTACAATATTTTTTACCTTTCCTGTCTGAGAATCAAAGGGTTAGCCTGCATTTAAAACACATTTTGTAGGGCAAAAAAAGTAAGTGAATTTGTATTTTACCACAGACTTGCCTTATTACGCAAAGCAATGAGAGGTTGCAAGTGAAAATTTTTCAGTTTAGTCCATCTAATCATAGTAAAAATTATATTTATAATAACCAATTTTCATTTTAAAAAAAACCTTACAGGTTGCTTCCATAAGGTTCCAAACTAAGATTGCATAACATTTAACATACAAAGTTTGATTCGTATTTTAGGCAAATGAGAAAACGTCTAAAATGGTCTGGGGTACATTTTCCCTCATTTAGCTCTGCATGATGTCAAGAAGAAGAATGCACAAATCTGAATTTCTGTCATTGCTGGGAGAATATTTTGTCATGGCACATATTCAGACAAAAGTTTGACTAAAATATCAACATTTTCATAACTGTCTTGCCTACAGTTTCCAATATGAGCAGTTTTTTTTTTTTTTAGGGTTTTCAGATTTTCAAATGAGGCTTCAGAGCTTCAGACCCACAAATCCATTTCATATAATGAATCACACAGCGTCTAACCTCCACAAAATGAAATATCAAACCCATATCCAAAGCCCCATTTCCTTTTTGATGTACACAACCAAGGATAACTAAAGGGGATTTATATAGAACATTTGTGAAAATCTGCTTCATCGGCAAAAACGTACCATTATTGTCTCTTTCGTGGCCTGATGCAGCATCTTCAAGGTAGCTGAACTGTGTTTCACATTTCTGAAGTGATGATAATGAAGATGTAGTAGAGTCCGAGAGTTTTCTGTCACTTCTGGTGTCTTTGGATGGCACATCTGTGATGCTGAATTCTGATACTGAGCTAAGAACAATACTTTTCATAGATTTGTCGTCTTTATTTGCTAACTGATGTTCTAGAATGGTGGGGAAAAATAAAAAAAATGACTTGATTCAGATAGTTTTAACATTTCTCCCAGACTTCCCATATCAGAGTAAATCCCCCAAGTTATAATAATGTAACATAGCCAAAATGACATTGGTTCTTATAAAGTGGGGATGTTACTGAAAAAATTTGCATTTTGCTCTTCCAGTAAATTAAAAAAAAAAATCCAAGCAGATTTTGGCCAATCATGAAACAATAATCTATTCAAAAGCATAGGTAACATTTGGGGAGCATACATAGATTGCTGGTAACCTGATACATAACAACAAAGAGCACCTGATAGTCAAAACCATACTCTACCTTGTTATAGCAAATGCCACTGTTTAATACTAAGAAAACACTTCTTTGACCATTCAGGAGGAATCATGCAAGATCAAATCTTTATCTAGACCCATCATATGATTAATAAATAGAAGTCTGGATTTGAGCTACATACTTGCTATGTTGCAAATAAATAGCCAAATTCTGTTGTTGTTAGTTGCAAAGTCATGTCTGACCCATTGCAATCCTATGGACAACTTTCCTCCAGGCCTTCCTGTCCTTGTTGTGGCCCATCAGCGGCCTGTGCAGCTAGTAGCTAATTCCGACAGCGAGGAGGCTGGTGTGGTGATGCACCAGCAGCCTGTGCAGCTGGCACTCGAGTCAGACAATGAGGAGGCTGGAGAAGTTGTGGTGCCAGAGGCGGGGATTCAGCCAGGGCCTTCAGAACCTCCAGAAGTTCCCATAAGTGAAGAGGAAGAAGAGGAGGAGCCTCTTCTTGATGCACGAGCGCACAGAGCTGCCAAAAGACAGAAGTGGCTCCTCAGGAGGAGGTCTCCTCAAGAGTAAGGCTTGGGGCTAATTGGCCACTCCCCTCACATATTTAAGGAAGGACAATGACTGAGGCAATTTGCAGGAAACAACTTCGTTCATATTCCTTTGCATCTTGATTCCAGAAATGTCTGATTGGCTCTTGCTTCTTTCTTGTCAGTTTTCCTGCAAATTGCTTCCGGGCATTCTGCCAACCACAGTAAGATTACAGTTATTTGAAATACTGTGCTTCAGAATTGAGTTATTATTCTTTGGATTCTTGTCGGCTGTTAATGAAGTTAAATTAACAGCCCTTGTTCAGAAAAGACTGATTTAAACTGTATTTGTGTTCGAACAACTACTAAGAAACCTCATTAATAGTCCTTAATTAGTAAACTAAGGTTTGTACGGACTTTGTGTGTGCTGCATTCTTTGGGGTCCATAGCTGGGGCAGAACAATCCTCTACCATCGCCTGGAGACCATTTAAGCTCACACTGACTGCTTCAATGACTCCAGCCAGCCACCTCATTCTTTGCCGTCCCATTCTTCTTTTGCCCTCAATCATCCCCAGCATTAGGCTCTTGTCCAGTGAGTCCTTCCTTCTCATTAAGTGACCAAAGTATTTGAGTTTCATCTTCAGGATCTGGCCTTCTAAAGAACAGTCAGGGTTGATCTCCTCTAGGACTGACTGGTTTGATCGCCTTGCAGTCTAAGGGACTCGCAGGAGTCTTCTCCAGCACCATAGTTCAATAGTCCAAATAACCAAGATTCAGATAAGCTGATCCTCAGCTTGCCTATCTTTTTGCAGTATTATGATATTTTAATATTTGACTGGAGTTTGGGTGTTGTGCAATTTGGCTTATCCTTTGTCTCAGTCCTCTACAACGGGGTCTCCAAACTTGTCAACTTTAAGACTTGTGGACTTCAACTCCCAGAATTCTGCAGCCAGCATGGCTAGCTGAGGAATTCTGGGAGTTGAAGTCCATAAGTCTTAAAGTTGACAAGGTTGGAGGTGGCCTCCATTCTGAATTCTTCTGTTGTCTGAACTCTCCATTGCCAGATTTTGGAGTCAGCTGTTCGAAGGGTTTTTCAACCTGCAGAGTCATGTATGACTTGTCTCTCATCTTAATCCCTTTCTTCCTGCACATTGTTTTACCAACTGCCAGGTCAGTGATCCAATGCCCGGGCTACTGATTCTTTTAGATCCGGAGACAATAAGCACACACTGAATAAGGATTAATTGTTTAACTGTAGCAAGCAAATTAAACAGATCCACAAGAAAGCATAACATACTAAGCAATATGCTCTCCTTCCAGCTGTTAGGAGTCTTGTTTCAAGCAGCAGAGATACCTCCAAGCCTCTTGGTGAACAGAGGCTCAAAGCTTAATATGCAGTTCCAGAGAGGCTTTTTATTAAAGCCTAGGGCCAAGACTTCAAGGTCCTGTTTCCATGGTATGGAGACCACAAGACCTGACCTTGCCTGGATAGTCCATAACTCTGGGATAGGAAGAATAGATCTGAGAACTTTTCTGATAAACTAAGACAAACCAAGGCAAGAGCCGTGGTGGCGCAGTGGTTAGAGTGCAGTACTGCAGGCTACTTCTGCTGCCTGCTGGCTAATTTGGCAGTTTGAATCCCACCAGGCTCAAGGTTGACTCAGCCTTCCATCCTTCCAAGGTGGGTAAAATGAGGACTCAGATTGTTGAGGGCAATATCATGTTGACTCTGTAAACTGCTTAAAGAGGGCTGTAAAGCACTAGGAAGTGGTATATAAGTCTAAATGCTATTGCTATTGCTAACCTAAACAATCTACAGCTGTGTGAAAATCCCCCCATATCCCTCATTCATCAAGCAAGAGTGAAAACAAGCAGGTGAAATTGCCCAGAATGAACTCTATACTTCTAGATCTCTCTCTCTTTTTTTTAATATGAAGGAGAAATCAAAATATGTCACTATACTCTTTGAATCATAGTGGTCTTCCACATTGTCACTACACATATGTTCAGTCAGGATTTTACTTATGCTCAAGGATCAATATCTAGTATTGCTTTCTTTAGATACCGGAGGGTCCATCTCTGTTCCAGCCTGAATTGGCAATAATCGGTCCAGTATTAAGGGATCTCTTAAAAATAAAGTTCAACCTATTTAACCCAGATATACATTCCTTTGTTTAAAATGTGCCCAAAATTTAACAGACTCATTTCAACTCGTGAAAGGTTTACAAGCATGCAATAGGGCTAGGATGAGAAAACCTGGGAGGAAATATTCAATAAATAAAAGTGTAGCATTTCTATATCCATAATAGGCTCAACTTATCACGCTAAACTTTATCCTTCAAGCACTGTTGGAAGGGTAATATAAAAATCATACATTTAATCTAAATTCCCCATTGCAACCCCTTCAAAGGAAAAAAGGGGTGAAAAAAGAGAGAGAGCTGTCATTCAACGGTTCTTTTGTTTGTTGAAGAATTCAAATAAAGTGCATTTCACTGTCAAGCTTTTGTTCTGAAAAGCTTCCAGTAAGTAATGATAAACAAGTTTTGTTACAAGTCCTAGAACAATGATTACAATAAGCAACTTGCTACAGCAAGCAGATTCATACTGTCTCTTCCAGAAAATAGCATTTCTGAGAGAAAGCAGTGCAGAGTTACAAGTCTCCTTATGCAATTAGCCCTCTGTTTAACCACAGGGCCCACTTATAATGGTAATTTTCATGAATTTAATACTTGCAGAGCAGTGGTGGGTTTCAAAATTTTTTACTACCAGTTCTGTGGGTGTGGCTTGGTAGGCGTGGCTTGGTGAGTATGGCAGGGGAAGGATACTGTAAAATCTCCATTCCCTCCCCACTCCAGGGGAAGTATACTGCAAAATCTCAATTTCCTCCCGATCAGCTGGGACTCGGGAGGCAGAGAATAGATGGGGGCGGGGCCAGTCAGAATTTTTTGCTACCGGTTCTCCGAACTACTCAAAATTTCCGCTACCAGTTCTCCAGAACTGGTCAGCACTTGCTGAAACTCACCTCTGTTGCAGAGGGTATCTACAATACAATTTTAGATGGAGTCGTTGATGCTTTCTGAGCTTGTTTGCAGACATTTCATTACCTAACTAGGTAACATCATCAATTCAAGTGACTGAGGGTTTTGCTTCCTATTTGAATACAAAAGCTTGCTGTGCCAGAGTTGGTGGGGGTATGGTTTTCTCCTTGGTAGTTCCTAGATTAGGGTATTGTTTTCTGCTTGATTGTTTGCCTGGTATTAATCCCTGCTTATCTGGATGTTGGCTGCTGGAGAGAATGTGTCTTTTTGTTTCCCTTTTAGCGTTTTTTTTGGTCTATTTTTGAATGGTGTGTAAATATAGTTTATCTCTATGCACCTATTAATGACTAATTTGGCTGAGAGTCAAGTTTCCAGAAATTCCCTATGTTGGTTTTTTGGATTTAGTTTGGTCCAGGATGCTCAGTTTCCAAATTGAAGTTATGATTGACTGCTCATGTATTGTAAGATTAAGAAGTTTCAATCATGCCTTCTGACTTCTAGTTGGTGTTCATGAATGTGTTTCTGCTCATCTTCTGCCTATCTGTCCTATATAGTGGCTGTTACATTCCTTACACTGTATATTGTAGATAACACCTGTTGTTGTTTTTTCGTGGACTAGCGGGTGTTTTGGTTTACTTACCATGTCTTGAGGTGCTTTAATTAGTTTGTGTGCCATGATAATGCTGTGTGGTTGTAATAATCTGTGATTGTTCCTGAGATGCTTTGATGTATGGTTATCCTTTTCATAGCTTGCATTGGGTGTGGATTGAGTGCTTAGGCACTTTTATTTGTCTGCTCTACTGTGAATCCTTATCTAAAGCACTCTTTGCAGCAAATACATCATGACTGACTATAAGATGAGGGCATATATCCAGTATCTGATTTTTTTTTAATATAAATGATGCTGCAGTTCAATGGGTAGATGGCCTAGACATTGGTGTTTGAACATAGATCATTTTTAACATTTATATTTTATTGTGTTTTACTAATCTAAGTGAAATGTTAATATATATTGCTAATCTATTAATGAATTGTCATAGGTTAAATAATAGAATAGAGTGTAGAGTGTAGAGTGTAGAGTGTAGAGTGTAGAGTGTAGAATAGAATAGAATAGAATAGAATAGAATAGAATAGAATAGAATAGAAT